GTTCTTTGAAAAACATAATTTACTAAAATTAGTTCAAGAAATACAGCTCAAATAGATATCTTAGAGAAACTAAATTTGTAGAATTGCAGGTATAATTTAAAATTATAAAGATGATCTAGGATTTCCAACTTCTGATTAAGATGCAAAAAATGGAGTGTTCTCAATCAAACAAGGAAAAGCTAGGTACACAATGTATGGAATCAAAACTAGCCTTGAATCCCTGAGAAGGCTGAGACCACAAGGCCACTAACAGAACAAAAGCATGAGTACCACTGCAGAGCCACTGGTGCAAAGTGAATGTTGCAGCTTGGTGACAAGAGAAAGGAAACAAGACCCAAAACACAGCTTCCTTAACATGAAAGGAGGAGATGTCCCTGCGACTAAGCACTAGAGAGCTACTATAAAGGGACAGGAGCATCGCAAAGCTTGGCCTCTGTGACTCAGGGTGGTCAAAGCTGGAGAAGAGCAACAGATACTGCTCCCTGGACACACAGCAACAACACCTCACTTGCGACTCAATAACATCAACCTACTGTTGGGAAAGGGCAGGATATGGAGATACACATTTCCTGAGATATAAGAATATAAAAATGGGACAGATGAGAATCCTCCCAGTCTTCAACCTGAACACAGAAATAATACCAAAGACATTTGAAGCTAGGTCCACTAAAAACAAAGAGACCCAAACTTAATTATGGATTGAACCAAACTGCAGTCAATAAAGCTCTGGCAAATGAATGTGGATTCATTTCTGAATACAGGTATTATTAAGTATCTGTGGTACATGCAATGTCTTTTTTTCAAATTGTAAAAGGGGAGGGGGGAGTGAGAAGGGAAGGAGGAAGGGGAGAAAGACCTTGTCATGAGACCAGAGGAGAACCCAAGTAGAAAGTAGCCAGATATTGGATCTATCAAAAAATCAAAGTTATAAGTGATGGTCAGAAACGTAAATGGAAAAATTAACCAAGAAATGGAAGCTACAAAAGGTGGAATGCAGTGTCTACCAAAAATAATAGAGATGACAATGCCTTGAGTAAGTGATTAGAAAAGAGTACACTCAGGGAGGAGCAGTGGGCCTCAAATAAATCAGCATAAACCAAATGTACGGAGGGGAAAGCACGGTATGCACAAAGTTTCAGAACATGTTGAAGTGGCCCTAACGTGCATGTACTTGGAGAACCAGAAGATGGGAAGAAAAAAAAAACAAAAAACAGAAGAATTACCTAAATAATTAATAGAAAAAAATTCAAAAATAAGGAGTGATATAAAAATATGAACCCAGAAAGCTTTAAAAACCCAAGCAGGTTATATCTGTAATTTTAAAATTGCATAAAAACATACAGATTGCTTAATGTGAAAGACACTATTAACCCAGGCATGGTGGCACACCCCTGTACACCTGGTACCTTGCAAGTAGAGGCAGAAAGATCAGAAGGTGAAGACATCCTTAGCTATACAGGAAGTTGAAGGCTAGCCTGGGCTACATGAAACCCTAGCTCCAAAACAACAAAAAAACATACATTAAACAAATTAAAAGCAGAAGACGACTAAGACCATAGGAAACAGAAGATCGTGGTTGAAACTGCTGAAGGCTAGGGCACACATGGAGTCCCTCAAGCATATTGAACCTTAGTGAAAATATATTTCATAAAGTCTTTTCCACACAAGTAAAAAGAATTATCAGTAAATGTCATGTGAAGTTTTAAGAGAAATTCTTCACAAAGAATTTGACCTTCACAAAGAGAAAAAAAAAGTCTTCATATATAGGTGCAATGACAACATAGTACTTTTTTTTTGGATCAAAGATGCTATCAGTTTTCACCCTGTTTTTTTTTAACCAATTATAAATGTACATAGTGGAGGAATTGTAAATGTGCTGTGCCTTAGTTGTTACTCCTCAGTCATATGTGGCGTAACAATTCAGTCAACAGTAGTATGCTTTTAAAACCATAGTCCACTAAGAAATCATCTAGTGAGCTCATAGACACTGGGGAGCATTGGTGTTCCCATAGCAAAATAACTGTAAAGATGCATCTCACCCTGTGTGTCCCCATCCGTAAGGTGTAAAATTGCATGTGTAAATCAGAATATTTCTCAAAAGTGGACTATGATTTGTTAAAAATCTGTATTGTAAACTTTAAGGCAAGAGAAACAAGCTGGCATGTAGGCCAAGTCCAGCCCACCATTTTCTGTTTGTGAATGTAACTGGATTGACACACCCATTCTTTTCCTTAGTACCTACTATTGCATTCTTGCTACGTTGATAGAATTGAGCAGTTGCAACAGGCACTGTACATTTAGAGACTTGTGTTTAACCTTCAAAGCCTAAACACAAAACATTTCCTATTTAGCTCTTACAGAAAAGCATTTGCCAACACCTGCTCTGTGATAATCCTGTTACTGAGATTGGAAACTTAAAAGAATAATGTGTATGCTACTTCATACTACCAGGCATTATCTCTGCCCCTCCATATTCTTATTTTTTATTTTTAAAATAATAATTATTATTAATTACAATTTATTCACTTTGTGTCTTGACTGTAGCCCCCTCCCTCATCTCCTTTTGGTCCCACCCTTCCGCTTCCCCTCCCCATGTCCATTCCCTAGTCCACTGATAGGGGAGGTATTTCTCCCCTATTATCTGAGCCTAGCCCATCAGGCCTCATCAGGACTGTCTTGATCCTCTTTCTCTGTGACCAGTCAGGCCACCTCTCCAAGGGAAGGTGATCAAAGAGCGGAGACTGCCCCTGCTCAGCCACATGGAGACTGAGCTGCCTATGGGCTACATCTGAGAAAGGGGGTCCAGGTCCTCTGCATGCATGGTTTTTGGTTGATTCATCAATCTCTGCAGGCCCCCTGGGCCCAGATTTTTTTTTTTGGCTCTGTTTGTCTCCTTGTAGAGCTCCTGTCCCCTCCAGGTCTTACTATCTCCCCCTTCTTCCATAAGATTCCCTGTACTCTGCCCAAAGGTTGGCTATGAGTCTCAGCATCTGTTTTCCTACCCTGGTGGTAGTCTTTCTCAGGCCCTCTGTGGTAGGCTCCTTTCCTGTTCCCTGTCTTCTCCCACCTCTGATACCTATCCTGTTTGCCCTTCTGAATGAGGATTAAGCATCTTCCCCAGGGTCCTCTTTCTTTAGCTTCTTTAGGACTTTGGTATGTTTATCCTATATTATATGGCTAATATCCACTTATAAGTGACTATATACCATTTGTGTTTTTCTGCTTCTGGGTTACCTCACTCAGGGTGATCTTTTCTAGTTCTATCTGTTTGCCTGCAAATTTCATGATTTCCTTGTTTTTAATTGCTGAGTAATATTCCATTGTGTAAATGTACCACAATTTCTGTATTGAAAGTTCAAGTTACTCTGGTATGGGGAAATACTTTATTCTATTCATTCACATATTCACCTAAAATAAGCACTGACACTTAGGCAGCAAAGACTTTCCCAGTATGACTGTGTGAAACTATAGATCTTCACTAACATCTCTGGTTTCCTTTTAGTTACTGGAATATAGTGCTATAATTTTATACTGTAGTTTCTAAAGAACATATATTCCTTCATGGTAGCTCAAGATTCATGTGAGTTGGAAATGGAACATTGTCAGGTACAGAGGCAGCTGGAGGGGTGTGCTCCAGCTAATGTGTACATGATTTCACTCATAACAATCTTTGCTTCCATCATAACTCTTCTCTTGTTGCTATCCTGACTAGCCTTCTCCAGTTACTTGTTTCTATACAAGTGTGTAAGAATATGGCTTCTATGTGCCATCAATCTAAACACTACCTCATGCCATTCTATTATGTTCTTCCATCTGGTTCTTGATTTTAAACCTTGGGGTCACAAGACTGGTGTAGTTCATCTTTTCTTTCCATGTAGCTTCATAAAGATTCCCTGCTTTTTGGCTGGGTTTCTATTTTCACTAAACATCAGTAGCTTAATCATTTAGCCTAAACCTCAGCAGGAATATCTCTGAATGGGGAATTATTCTTTTCGTAGCTAGTAGCCATATAGTAAACACTCAAGGTTTAACTATTCCAGTAGTCATTCCCCAGACTTTGGTTCACATTCTATTGTCTTGCCTAATACATTAAAAAAAAATTACCTTTTATAAATTAACTTTTGGTATTTAAAAATGCTTTTCAGGATGCAGTAAATTTTATGTTTCTCAGCTTACTACGTTATCTAGTATGTAAAATACTTGTCATTGATAGTTTATATTTTGGCATTTTAAAATGTATTTGTTGGGTGAGGTAAATTTTACCATATTGCCCAGCTTACTACTTTTCTAAACAGAAATAACATAAAGAAGCCTTCACTGAAGCTTTTCATCTGTGGTTTAAGAAGGCTGTAGGTTCTAAACATTTAAAATTTTTTATCTTCTATCTCTTCAGACAGCTTTAAAACTCAATAATCCATAGAATCTTTACCTTTGACCAGAATCACAATGAAATTTGAAAATTCTCTTTCAGATTGAGCGACTGGTGTATGTAGTCTGTAGGATTTTTAAATTTTTATTTTAAAGATTCTGAAGGTCATTCCTGTGAGTTGTAAGATACTTAAAAAGTTGATCAATTGACTTGTAAATGTTTTTGGCCTTGCAAACTTGGGTAGCTCATAAGATGCATAATGAATGCATTGACTTCTTCCTGTTGGAGGCTTCTTATTTTAAGGCCTAGATTTATATGAGGTACAGTGATAATCCTAGCCAATACATAATATACTGTCTTCACCCACAACATAGTCTATTGAGCTTTCTATCCAAAGTCACACTCATGTGTATCAAATGCCCTTGTATGTAGTCAGATGAATCTGAGAGTAGAAAATGATGGGGGGGAAAAAAAAAACAAAAGAGAACAAATATGAGGAAAACTTCATACTTGATGCTGTGCTTGTGGATCTAAAAGAAATCAGAGGATGGTTAGCCTTGAGAGAAATGAACCAGGATTCTTTGAAGATAGTTCAGTATTTAAAAATGTTTTGTTTGTTCTAATTTTCAAGATGCTTATAGAGCTTGGGATATTCAGAAATGTGAACTTTGTAAACCAGAGCAAGCTTACCACCCCCCAGATGTGAAATTCGGAAACTCAACTACATTTCAAGATGACTATGTTCCCCGGGAGATAAAGCCTAGGCAAAGCTTTAAGCCCTGCTCTGTGCTCAAGTGTTCTGCAGGCCCTTTTAATGGTGATACAAGCCATCGTCAAGATTATGTACCTCATCAGCTAGAAGTCAAGTTTGCAAGGCCAAAGGAAGTTTATAAGCCAACTGACCAGCCTTTTGAGGATCTCACCACTCACCGGAATGACTTTCAGGGTCTTTCTGGTGAAACTGCAAAAATCTGCAGACCTTCCTATACTAGAGTGACCCAAAGCACTCAGTTTAAAGGAAGCACTGAATTCCGTGACAGCTTCCAACCATGGGAACTCCCACCTCCCCCAGTCAAGAAAGTAGCAGAGTATGTGCCCCCTTCAGGAAGCATGCAGTTAAACAGCACCAGCCACCTTGACTATGTTCCCTATCAGACCAGCCGTGTGGTTGCCATTAGGCCAGTTTCTCACAGAAGGAAAAGCAGTTTTCCTTTCCAAGGAAAAAGCACCATGAAGGAAGATTTTCCAGCATGGGAAAGTTGTCGTCAAGGTCTTATTAAGCAGCAGCAACAGATTCCCAACCCATCTGGAAAATTTGATGGTTTGAGCACTTTCAGATCTCACTTTGTGCCACATGAATTGATTCCAACAGAGAGCTGCAAACCTTCGAATGCTGCTCCTAAGAGTTCAGTTCCACTTGATGATGTCACCATGTACTCTATACACTACACACCGAAGAAACAAGAGATCTGCCCTGCTAGCTATCCTTTTCCTCCAGGTTATATATTTGAAAATACAAATTCCCAAGGACATAAATTCTTTCGCAAGATTAGTCCTGCAGTGGAAGCCTTGTAGTAATCAACTAATGTTTAAAAGAAAGTTAATGAATGTTCAGTTTTTTAAGAGAAACCTAAACTTTTTGTAATGAAAAATATTATGAGAGTTATGCCATATCATTTTTAGCTTTTAAAACAAGTTGGAACATATAGATCAGAATTCTTAAGTCCATTTTATACTAATAGTTTAACCAAGAATGCTCTTTGTCATTTTGTTTAGCTTTTTGAACTACGGCCTTCCTATTTAGCACAGGCTAGCCTGGAACTTGCAGTCTATTTGTGCCAGTCTTCTGATCCAAGATTGTTGTTTAACAGGCATTTCTGAAAGCTAAATGATATGCATGCCCATCTACACATGCTGTCTCATAGCTTGTCCTAGGTCTGTTATCATTTACATCTCATTTTATAGTTATGCAATCATACAGCTGTTCTCATTGTCAATTCTCAAATACATTGGGACTGTATAGAACAAAACTGAAGATGAGATATGGATTATTCTTCCAAAAATATCCAGGATTTACTTATTCATTCATTCATTCATTTTCAACGTATCTACAGAGCATGGAACAAGTCAAATTTTTGTTGGTGATGTCAGAGACTACTGCTCTGTTCCTTGCCCTGTTCAAGATACCAAGAGGCATTGTGGCTTGAAAAGGAGAGGTCCTGTAGGTTGGGAATCAGAGGACTGGAGTTCAAGTACTAATATCTTCAGTTTTTATTTGTGTCACTATAAGAAATCTGCTCACACACGTAGCTCTGTCATCATGTATAAAAGAACATTCGTTCTGTGTACCTCACAAAAGTTTGTTGGTATCATCAAATCATATAATACATTTGAATACATAAAATATAAACATAAAGGGCTATTAACAAACCCTCAGATACTTTTTGTAGTTTTTTTCTTTCCAAATAAGGATGTTAACAAACTTAATACTTATTATCTAATCTCCATATAGCAAGGACTGTAAAATAATGCTTTTCATTTATGAGTAGCATGTGTTTGAAAGAGGCATCTGCCCACTATAGCTTCATAAGTACCCTACAAGTTATGGCAGAGAAAAGAAAACTTAGATTAAATACTTTGATATGAGTGGCTATATTTTCAAAAGAAAAAATATTTGCTGGAACAGTTTTAGGGAAGATTTCCAGTTCTGACAAAAATCTTCAGGCTAAAGCTAGGTGCATACAGTGGCCATATCCAGAATCACTGTTCATTAGTAAGGGCCATAACTACCTTTTTCACGACTAAAAGTGTAAAGATAAGTGCAACAAAAAAAGGGGAAGAGATGGCAGGAAGGAACATGGAAATAGTGTAACACCAAAAGTTTTAGTGAACTAAAATCAACTGAGCGTTTTTGCTTTTTGAAACAGGGGCTCACTATGTAGCCCTGGCTGGCCGGGAACTCATTTTTTAGACCAGGCTGGGTTTGAACCCACTGAGATCTGCCTGCCTCTGCTGCCCAAGTATGGGTATTAAAGGCCTGTGCCATCACATCCAGCTGTAACTGAGTGTTTTAATAAATGGTCATGTATAGAAAATAAGATTAACTTTAATTTAAAATGAATTATAATGTTTCACAGTCATTTAAGAATATGTAATAAGGATGAATTCTCAATGTTTTATTAAATATTTTAATTAATTGAAAGTAATCATCAGTATTTGCATTTATTATAAAAATTAATATCTGAAAAATGTTTCTATGTGTAATCCACTTAATAAAATGTACTGATTTTCATGAAGTCATTTCTGTATCATCTTATTTGAGATAAAACTTCTAAATAAATTCCCATCTAGATATACCTATATATAATTAGATACCAATTATTTTAAAATGGAAAATACTATTATAATAATCAAAATTAAAAATTGGGTAATATCACACCATTCTCATATCCTGGCCCATGTTCCAATGTTTAAATATTCAAATCCCTTTGTAATGTGGTTGGGTTGGTCTTCTCTCTGACAGAGGTCACCCTTAGGAAGACTCTCCTGGCATTTCCTGAAGCAGTCTTCCTTAGAACACATGGCGTACTGTCCGTCTCGCTGTAACCAAATAGGATAGGTGTGAAAATAGAAACTGGAACAGAGCCACAACATAACACATTCAGTTGGAAGTTCAGGAACATCTCCCTTAAAGAACGTCAGCTGAGCTGAATCTTGAAAGATAAATGGGAAGAAATAAGGATGAAGAACAGAAGGAAGGACCGTATCCTAGTTTGCTCTCTACTGCCATGAAAAAAGACCATGACCAAAAATAACTTGGAGAGGAAAAGGTTTATTTCATTTGACAGCTTATAGTCTATATCATAAAAGGAATTCAGAGAGAAAACCCAAAGCAGGAACTTGGAGGCAGAAACTGAAGCAGAAGGTTGTTCAACCTGCTTTCTTACGAACTTAGATGATAGCCTCAGGGGAGGCACTGCCCATATAGATAAGACCCTCCAACATCAATCATTAATCAAGACGATGCACACAGATGTGCCTGCAGGCCAGTCTGATGGAGGCATTTCCTCCACTGACAGTCCCTCTTTCTTCATGGTCCTAGTTTGTGTTAAGCTGATAAAACAAAACAAAACAAAAAAACCCTAACCACACAATTTTTTGTCTTGTTTTTTTCCTTCCTTCTTATTATTTTAATCTGTTTTTTGTTGTTGTTGTTTCTCCTGATTTTTTTTTTTGAGAGAGAGAGAATGGGTAAGGGAGAACATGAACATAAAGTTGAAGGAGTAGTGGGGTGAGAAGGATCTAGGAGGAGACGGGGACAGGGAAAGAATATGATCAAAATATACTATATAGAAGTAAAAAAAACTAAACCGTGAAATTGAACACTTGCCAATTTTATACAGAAATACATTACAATTAAACCATAACCTATTCTTTGTTTATTCTCAAGATCTCATGTTCATATCACAATATAAAACAGTACAACTTTAAATGTCCCACAGTCTTTAAAAATTCAAACACTCTCTAAAATATTCAGCATCTCTTAAAAATCGAAAGTCTTTCAACTATGGGCTTCTATGGGCTTCTGCTAAACAGAAATCATACACTTTTTATTCCAAGAGAAAAGACCCAGGGCACATTTACAATTAAATAAGCAAAACCAACATCCATCAGTCTAAATAGCTCAGTGTCCAATGTCTTCGACTCACTCATGATCATCTGGGCTTCAAAATTCTCTATCATCTGCACCACACCCGACTTGTCTCATTGGACCAGGCCAGCTCTACTCCACACCTGCTGCTATCCTTGATTATACCTGAGTTCTTACATATCCAATATGCTGGGGTCTCCTGCACTGTTTCACCTTCCCCAGTGGCCTCCTGGCCTCTCTTCAAGGACTCCAAGATTGTCACATGACATTAAGCCTTAGCCTTTCTCTTGGAATCCTTAATTCTGGAGCTTCCACTACTCCGGAGATTGCAGCTTAACCAATGGTTTTTCCTTTGCTCTCACAAGGCCAAGCTTCAGCTGTTCTCCATGACCCTTTCAGTCTTTCAGCTTCTACGTGGCCCAAACTAGCACAACATGGGAACATTCTTATACATCACCAAGTTGAGCTGCCAGGTTGAGATACAGCCTTGGACCTCTGTGGACCACAGCTTCTTGTACTGACTTTAAGAGAACACTTTAAAGCCTTCACCTCAGTGATGCTTGTCTCTAATTAATCAAAGCTGATTCTTCAGTTCACCTGACCCAGAAACTACAGATCTTTAATTCAAATATATCACACAAATAGTCCTGACATTCTTTACTTCCTTCTGAAACTTCACAAGCCAGGATTCATCGTCTGTACTTAACACTCTTATCGTTCAAGCTCCCACAGAACAGCTCATTAAACAATCAATGACTTTTCCATCCCAGAATTCAAACACATGGCCAGGTCTGTCACATCAATACCATATGGTCTGAATACCAGTTTCTGTTCTAGTTTGCTTTCTGTTGCTGTGGTAAACACTATGACCAAAAGAAAATTGAGGAGAAAGGGGTTTACTTCATGTTACAGCTTATAGTCCATCATGAAGAAATTCAAGATAGCATAGAGGAAGGAGCAGAGCAGAGATTATGGAAGAACACTGCCTACTGGCTTGCTCTCCATGGCTTGTTCAACCTACTTTCTTATAAAATCTAGGACCACCTGCGCAGGGGTAGCATCACCCACACGGAAAGGGATCTCCCATATCAATCATTAAAATCAAGAAATGGGTGCCACCCTGGCACCTCAAGTCACAGCAGGACTAAGCACATCCCTTCTCACTGAGGCCAGACAAGGCAGCCCAGCTAGGGGAAAGGAAAGGGATCTAAAGACAGGCAACAGAGACAGACAGCCTCTTCTCCCAGTGTTAGGGGACCCATATGATGACCAAGCTTCACGTCTGCTACATATGTGTAGGGAGTCTAAGTCCAGCCCATGCTTGGTCTTTTGTCAATGGTTCAGGCTCTGTGAGACCCCATGGGCCCAGGCTAGTTTACTCTGTAGGTCTTCATGTGGGACCTTGACCTCTCTGTCTCCCTCTATCCTTCCTCCCATTCTTTCACAAAACTTGCTCAGCCTATTATTTGGCTGTGGGTCTATGCATCTCTTTCCATCAGCTGCCAGATGAAGCCTCTCAGAAGACAATTATGGTAGGGCCCTGCCTGCAACCATAGCAGAGTATCATGAATAGTGACAGGGGTTAGCTCTATCTCTTGGGTGCGTCTCAAGTTGGGCCAATCACGGTTTGCCACTCCCTCAATCTCTACTCCATCTTCATCCCTACACTTCCTGTAGGCAAGACAAATTTTGGGTTGAAGGTTTTATGGGTGGTGTTGTAGGTGGTAATTAAAATTTACTATGGGTTTATCTTCTAGTAACGCTGCTGTTAATCCTCAGCAGCTGTAAAACCAAATCACCACACAGAGACTGGGTTTTTAGTTAACCTAGAACACAATGCTGGGCAATATTTACTCCCTCCTAAACCTCCAAGCCCTCAGTTTCCTAACATTTAGATTTCCCACATTATACTTTCTTTTTGTGA